CTTCCAGTAGCCACGGAATGCATGTGTTCACCTTCCCAGTGTCTTGTCCTTGTCACAGCTGCTGGCACCAAAAAGGCAGCAGGGAGGAGGAGCAATACCTGGGCTGGGAGGTCGATGACCGAGTTCCATGGCTTTGTCACTAGCTAGCTCTGAGACCTCTGACAGGTGACTTACCTGTTAGACTTACCTGTTTCCTCTTCTCTCGGTTGAAGGTGATGGAGCTGAGAACAGAATAACTTCCTGGGACTGTTTTGAAAGGTCAAGGATGGCAACTGACATGAAAGCTCTTTGAAAACCTGAACTATTTTACAGATGTTCAGGTGTGTGTTTCCCTGATGCCACTAGAACCAGCTGTTCTGGGGCAGACCTGGACGATTCTGGCCCCACCTAAAACCAGCTCTGCTTTGCTTGGCCTACTTCTCTTAATTCGCATTATTTGTCTAGATCAGGGTTTTTCAACCTTGGCACTATTGACCTTTGGGCCTGGATAATTCTTTGTTGTGGGGAGCTGTTCGGTGCTTGGTAAGAAGTTGAGCAGCAATTCTGCCTCTACCCATTAGATGCCAGCAGCACCCCATCCCCCAGCACACACACAGTCATGACAATCAAAGATCCCTGCAGACATTGCTGCGTGTTGGCAGAGGTGGGGATCATCCCCAACTGTGAACTACTATTCTGGATGTAGTCTTCTCAGTCTTTCTAGTAGGTGGAAAACATTGCTCGGGAACTTGGATGCATAAGGCTCGGGATCCCTGAAGGGAAAGATACATTGTTTCCATCCCCAGCGCACTGGCAGAAGGGGCAGGTAGGGAGTGTGATATTTTGCAGTACTTTTATAATTTAGAGATCACGCCTCAACCTCCAATGGCTCAGGGGTTGGGTGGAATTCTTATTACAGACTGAAGTCATCAAAGGACAGAGAGGCTGTGCTCGCTCACCAGGCCTGGTTCACAAGGGCTGTTCGTGGAGAAAGAGTGAACTTGAGCAAGACCAAACTCCATGGGGGGGTGAGCTTGAGCTGGGTCCTGGAAGGTGGGACTATTTGGAGGTGGGAGGTGTGGAAGGGGATGGTGCCAGCACTGCTGATTTTCAACTTTTCCACCACGCACACAATGAATAACACGCGCCAAAACAACACTTCCAGGAGTCATACCAGACTCAAATGTCATCCCCCTCCCTTCCTGTCTCAATGCTCATACTCTCACCAATCCTTCAGGGAGTGTGTGTGTGCGTGTGCGCGCGCATGCCACACACGTGTTCAACCACTCAGAATGTGAGTGTGCCTAAGCATGTTTAATCACTCTGGGTGTGTGTGTGTGTGTGTGTGTGTGCACATGTATGTTATGGAGGGTGCTGAGACATAGGTTTGAGGTTGCAGGTTATCCTCAAATTCCTCCTCCTCTCTCTAGCTCCTCCTTTTCTGTCCTCCTAAGGAAGCACATTAGAATGAAAGTAAAAGGACTATTAGTCATCCTCAACCTTCTTGTGACAACTCACACCTGATCATGCCACGCCAGGGTGCCGTGACTGCTGGACTGGGACCTACTGTCCTACGCACAGCAGACAATAGAAGCCATGAAGAGATGGTGGTGGCGACAGTGCTACTGTGGGCACAACCCGAGGGGGAGCCAACTGCTCACATTTCATTCTATGACACGGGTGATCCCTGGAGTTACTCCACACAGCAGCAGAAGTCTTGGGTACTGTCACCCATAACAGGGAATGGGGCCAAATCCCAGAAGGCCTCACAGGCAGGCAGAGGAGTTAACATTTAACAGCACACTGGTTACAGGGTGGGTTTCACAGATGGGCAAACTGGGTTTAAATCCCACTTCTAATTCTATGTGCCCTTAGGTAATTGAACCTCTCAGCCCTTCAGCTTCATCATCTTTAGATGGATTTAGTGTGGATTGATGGGAAACATGTATTGATGTGTACAGGACTTAAGATAGCACCCAGCACATGGCGAATGCTCAAAAACAAACACACACAACACCTGAACATACTGATAAATTAACATCATGACTGGATAACATCACAGTTTTCATACTCTGGGGATCAATAACCTTCTCAATGAGACACATGTTGAACTGTGTCTGAAAGGCCAATGATACCTTTTTAATTACCTTAGCCATCCTCCACAGCTTGGTTAACACCTATCCCACTGTTCCTGTTTCACTAAATGATCCATGCAGCCATGCATTGGACAACTGCTGTTTATGGGCTTATTCTGTGACAAACACTGTGCAGGGTTCTGTGCATTATGTCACTTCATTTAATCCACAAAGGCCTGAGTCCCAGAACACAACCTGAATTAATAACCTCATTGCAAAGCCTTGACTTATGTGCCACATTTCTTGGCTGAATTGCATAAATCATTTAAGCTCTGAACCTTGGTTTCATCTCTAAAATCCAAAGGCTGATGGAACATGGAAAATGAAAGGCAGGCAGGGGCAGATTGTGACCAGTCTAATCCACAAAAGCAAGGAGTTAGCACTTCTAAGTGCACGGGAAAGCACCTTGCACTCGGCAGAGTTTGAAGCGAGGGTGTTTGGGGGATCAGAAATACATATTAAAACGATCTCTTGGCTACTCTCTGGAGATCATCCCACAAGAAGGCTGTGTAAAACTCTCAGCACTGAAAATACTCCTACACTTTGTATCCCCAGCCTGGACCCAGTCTCTCAGCCAACCGTCTACTTGACACATCTTCCTGGTGTCAAAAAGGCAGATCTGACTTAACATGGGCAAAGCCGAGTTTGAATTTTCACATCTCAGGAAATAGTGCCACTATTCACCCACTGGCTCAAGCAAAAACTCGAAGTGCCAACCTTGTGTCCCCCTTCCTTCTCCACCCACATGCAATCCACCACCACATGCTGCTGGCTCTCCAAACAAGGAAGGTCTCCACTGCCTTCCCACTAGTGTGAGTTTTAAACCACAATCATCCTCTGCTCTGGTCGCCACAGACCTAACTGGCCTTCCTGCTCCCAATCCACTCTCCTGTTTAAGATTCTTCATTGTCTTCCCTTGACTCTTGGGTATGAACTTCTCACCCTACGAGGTCCTGCATGGTGAGCTCCTGTCGCTCCTCCATTTACCCTTGGCTCACTAGGTCCAGCTACATTGACATCATTTCTTTTCCTTAAATACATTAAGCTCCTTCCAGTCTCTGGGACTTCAGCTGCTGTGCCCTCTGCCAGGACACCCTCCCCCCAGTGCTTGGCATGGCAGCAGCTTCTCATTCTTTGCTTCAAAGAGAACTCCCTAATCACAGGGGTTAAAGGAGCTCTCCCAGTTATTTATTGCCCTTTCATTTGTCTTCAGTGCACATGTCACAGTCTAATGCTTTTGTGCTTGTTGTAGGGGGTCGACCCTAACGTGCAGCCATGATCCCCATCTGTGGTTTGCATGCTCTGGGCAATTCCCTCCTGAGTGTGGCTGGTTCCTGTGACTCGCTTCTAACACAGAGAATACAGAAAAAGCAACAGGATAGACATGATTACGCATACATGATTATGTTGATGAAGAATGTAATGTCCGTCTTGCCAAGAGACTCTCTCTCTTGGCGGCTCTGATGAAGCAAACCGCCACCCTGTGGAAAGGGACATGCAGCAGGCACTGAGGCCTCAGTTCCGTCACCAGCAAGGAACTGGATGCTGCCAATGACCATGTGAGCATGGATGTGCGTCCTTCTCCTCACATGTGAACCCAGCAACGCCGATCACAGTCTTGCAAAGGATCCAGCCAAGCTGTGCCTGGACTCCTAACTGCAGAAAATGTGAGCTAACAAATGTGTGTTCTTTTAAGTCGTTAGTTGGTGGGAAATTGTTACACAGCAACAGATAACTAACACACTTGTTTATGTAATTCCTGCATTAGAAGGTAAGCTCCAGGAGGGAGGCCAGGGACCTTTCTTTTTTTTTTTTTTTTTCTTTTTTCTGTCCTTTTTGAGACCGGCCGCACCGCGCTCAGCCAGTGAGTGCTGTGAGTGCACCGGTCATCCCTATATAGGATCCGAACCCATGGCGGGAGCGCTGCTGCGCTCCCAGCGCCGCACTCTCCCAAGTGCGCCACAGGCTCAGCCCCAGGGACCTTTCCATTCATCATTACTGAAGCCTCAGAACCCAGCTGGGTAGACACTTGCATGAAGGAAAGAAAATCAGTAACTGCTTATACCCCCACGGCACTGGCAGGATAGGCAGTTCTTGTTCTCTAATGCAGGTAAATCCACCTTCAGTGCCAAGTGTGGCTGAATGTCATGGGATGCGGAAATGTTTCAGTACCAGATAAAGGCCTTTATGCCCCACGGTGGCAACAAGCAGCATCTGTTTTTGTCTGCCCAGCAAACATTTCCTTTTCTCCTGATACTCCTTTCAGAAACTCCTCCTGTCTCTTTGCACCCCAGGATCCCCACCCCAAATGGAACCAGGGGGCTGACCTACCTCCATCCCTGGCTCGTGCATGGACACATCCCAGTCCTGCCCTATCAGCATATTCCATCCTCCTGGCCACTGCTATTGGTTCAGGGTTGTTCACATGAGCCAAGTCTGTCCAAGCAGAGCCAAACCCATAATATTTGCATGTACTGCTGGAAAAGAGCAGCTTTCTTGCCCAGTACAGAGAGCTAACTAGAGCTGCTGGGACCTCCACCGGGGCGGGTCTGCCTGCAAGAGTGACTCACACTGAGAAAAGGAGTGCTGAGAGAGGGAGGGTGAGAGATGCCTAATGACACCGCCTGAGCCCCCGGATCTAGCTGTGCCCGGAGATCTACTTTTTGGTTAAGAGAAACAAATCCCTCCCACCCCCACCCCACCTTTTTTAAAGCAACTCTGAATTGGATGTATATCACTAGCAACCCAGGATTGGCCATGCAATAGACAGAGAAGGAACAGGCAGGTTGGATGTATAGAGAAGGGGGGTGGCGGGGAGAAAGGGTAAAAGAAAAAAGCCCACCTAAGTAAAAATTTCATAAAATGCTATAGCAAATAAACCACTGATGTAGATTTCCCACAGGCTGTTTTATTTTTACTCTGTAGTTCTTCAGCATTTTTTTTTTTTGAAGAAGAAATGGCTTAACATGACAAGTTCTTTAAAACAATACAAAAGTAGCAAGTGCAAATATTTAAAAACTTAACAGCACTCAGTAGTACTGTTAAGTACTATTATAATTATATGTTATATATTATTATTATAATAGTAACAGTGAAACTACACCTTTAGAATTTTTCAAAAAGATTCTTGGCCACAAAGTTAGCTTAGACTCTATTTTCCACCTTCAAGAGCCCATTATTCCCAAGCCTTCTGATAGAAAGCGAGTAAGGCAGGAGAGCTTGCTCCGTTTGGGATTTTTTTTTTTTTTTTTACCTCTTGTTTCACAAGTAAGAAAATAAACAGCTTTCCTCATTTGTAAAAACAAAACAGAAATGACCCACTGTTGCCCCCAATGGAGCCCTTGGACACAAGCCCTGAGGCTCTGGGGTCAAGTGGCAGGGCTGTAGAGGCCCAGGACCCTGCCAAGGTCAAGTCTGCACACTTGGGGCGTGGGAGCAAAAGGCAGGGTGAGCTGTCAGGCCATCGCACTTCTCTACTGATTCTCCATGTGAGGGTGGGTCTGATGAGAGAACCAACCCAAAAGCAACAAGACCCCCAAATTGGCCACTGTGGGATCCTACAAACTGTAAGTGAAAGAGCTAAAAGACAAGTCCAAGGAGTGCTTGACTGCCCAGCCCCTACTCTGAGTCATAATCTCGAGGGTGAGTATGATCCAACAGCTGTTCAGAGATGCTTGGAAAAAAGCACTGGTTCCATCAATTGAGCTGGTCATTCCTGGTAGAGCCCCTCAAAGTCTGCGGACTTCACGGCCAGTGGACAGTCGCCACTAGGATTTTGCTGGGTCAGTAATCTGTGTGGTAACAAGAGGAAATGGTTAGCTCTGGGGACTGTTTAAAGAGCAATGCTGAGAGTACACACAGCTGAATACATGACAGTCTTTGCTGGTTTATTTTATTTGTAGCTGCTTCTTGCAACCACACCAGATTCGTGGCTTGTACCCATTTTACAGATGAGGAAACTGAGGGCATGGGAGGTTAAAAAGACTGGGTTTGGGTTAAGGTTATGTCCCCTTTCTCCATTCTAATTTGAGGATTGCATTTTCCCCCACTTGTCTGTGTCCTCAACACCAATCCAGTGAGAAAGGCAGCTCTATCAGCTATTGCTGTTAATCTTTTACTGTGCCTAATTTACAAGTTAAACTTTATCATAGATATGTACGCATAGGGAAAAAACAGTGTATAAGAGAATTCAGTACTATCTGTGGTTTCAGGCCTCCCCCATGGATAAGAGGGACTACTGTATTTTCATAATAACGTAACATATCATATGCCTTTTTCATTCTCATTCTCTCACAAGGGAACACTTGAGTTTCTCATATTATATTTGAAAGATCTACATGACTCAATGAACCAATATTTTCCAAATGACCAATGCATGAAGTTACAAAATTTTGCATGGTAGAGATCCATTTAAATGCAACTGGGTTTTAATATATCA